GGGTGCAAGGCAATGTGAACTTCCCTTGTTTCTCAAGCTTGGGAATAGAGTTTGGCGTGATATGGGCAGGATCTGGTGGTGTAGAGAGCTCAAGAAGCGCTGCCACTCTCTCTTTGTTCACAAGAACATCTTAATCAGCTCTATTTGGAGGTGAGCTTCTTGCATATTGCCTATGTTTGGTAGATGAACACCAATATTGCTCATATCATTCCTGAATGTGGAGACTACCTTCTTTTGAGCTTTAGTGAGAACTCTCTCAGGAAATGGAAACTCTGGTTTGTAAAGAGGAGGCTCAACCTTGATGGTTTCTTCTCTTGCAACAATCTTTGAGGCTTCCTCCTTGGCATTTCGTTTTTCAGCTTGAGAAGTCTCTTCATTCACTGAAATCTCAACACTTGTACCATGAAGGAGCCTGTAAAGTTCTTCTATAGCTCTCTCATTCTCTTCAGTCTCAGCCACACCATCTTTAGTAGAGAAAACTGCATGACAATACTCCTTTGTACTTGATGATGAAGAACCACCAACTTTAGCTTCCAAGGTAAGCACTTTGGTAGTTAGAGACTCAAACTTGTTGTTTAGATCATTGTATGAGCAATCAACCTTATTGTGAATCTCAACCATCCTCTTGTTCAACTCTAAGGCACTATTAGCTTGTCCTTGGATTATCTGTTGCAATATGGTCTTCATCTCTGCCTCTTGACCAGAATTGTGGCTTCCTTGAGCTTGAGTAGACCCAAGATCTTATGGAGAAAAACCGTGCTTGTAATAGACCCATTGGTTTCCATCTTGGCTGTCCACATAGTTGAGCTTTTTCTCTTGAATCTCCTCACCATTAATGAAGTGCACTTGCTTTTTCTGACCTGACAGTAGCTTGTCAAGCTTATCATTGAGAGTCTTGAGTTCCTTCTTGTGATTCTCTTCTTGAGCAAGACTGCCTCTCTCAGCTCTGTCACAATCTTCACCATAGCTTCCATCACTAGTGGCAACGTTCTCAACTAAAATCAATCCAGCATCAACATCTTTACCCATGAAGTAACCATTGCTTGCTGAATCAAGATGCATTCTGTATTTGGGTAATGTTCCTCTGTACAAGGTACTCAGTAGATTCTCTTTAGAGAAACCATGGTGAGGACACTGCATCTGGTAGCCCTTGAAGCGCTCATATGCCTCACAGAAAGTTTCTCCATGCATTTGCATGAAACCGGAGATATCATTGCGCAGTTGTGCTGTTCTTGAGGTTGGAAAGAACTTAGCCAAGAAAGATTGCTTGCACTGTGCCCAAGTGGTGACTGATCCAGCAGGCAGAGATGCTTCCCAAGTGAGAGCTTTATCCTCTAGAGAGAAAGGGAAAAGCCTTAACTTGAAACCATCTTCAGAAACTCCATTGAGTTGCTGCAAAGAACAAATTCTGTCAAACTTGTCAAGATGCTTCAATGGATCCTCATCCTTCATGCCATGAAACACTGAACTCTCCACCAATGAGATCAAGCTGGTCTTGATTTCAAAGTTAAAGGGGACTGGTGGTGGGGTGATTCCGTGGCGGTTGACATGAGAAGTCGGAGTGTCAGCAGCTCCGATTTGTCGTGGAGGGTGTGGAGGATGAACTGGATATCCTCCATGCTGCTGGTCAGCTCCCAATGGAAACTCTGGGACCCCTGGTGGGTCTGCCATGCTCACAAGCTATGGTACATTGTTCTCTAGCTGCTGTTCAGCTCTCAGTTGCTTCTCAGCTCTATCTCTGCCTTGCTTTGACTGTTTCTCTTGTTCAGCTCTTTGAAAATCACTTGTCCAGAACAGAATGTCTTGACCACGTGATCTTGTGTTCATAAACCTGCAAAACCACAAAGAAACTTCAAGAACGGATGAGCAGCAAGCGAAATATGAAATAAAAACTTGATCTTGAAAAATTTCTAAATCGAAAATGTCCAATCAAATCTCTCCAAATGGCAACGGCGCCAGTTTGAAAACAAGATTTTTAGGTGTTTCAAACCCTTAATCCCTGCTCATATCATTGCAGCATAGTTTAAGGTTATCAATCCACTTTGAAGAGTGATTGGGACAAGAAAGAAAGCAAGAAACTTTCTCAAGTCAAGAGCAAAAAGATTTGGTTTTGTGAAATCCGAAATGAACAGTAAAAATGCAGAAATAAAGGCAATAAACAGAGTTTGAAGCAATTTGAAATCAAAGAACTAAGCTAGAAACCAAATTGAATCAAGCAAGTAGATGAATTCAAAGGAAGAAAGAGGTCTTAGGATGGGTAATTGATTAGAGAATCTTAGAGGTTGATAATGATGTTTAGACAAACAATCCTAGGAAGAGATTAACCCATTTTCATGGTGAAAATCACAAAGCAAGAACCCAATCCAAGAGCTAACTTTCATTAGTGGAAAGGATTCAAGCCAGCAATAAGCAACAATTCTCCTAAACCAATAAGCTCTCTAAACATTCACTATCATGAGCTAGAGAAGCAAATCTCCTTGTTGGTTGGTCCAACATTTCTCCAAACACTTTTGATGTGGAAAATGTTTAAAACCTAGATATAAATTATCATTAGAGACCTAGCATTAAGAAAACCCAACAAGGAAGGATTGTACGAAATTTAACCTCTAAACATCAAAATCAAACTCTAAAATCCCTAATCTATCCCATCCTCTAAGACCAAAGGGGTTTACTCACTAATCATGCTTAGAACACCAAATCCCATGGGGAAAGGGTCCTAATCATGATTAGAGAGATAAGATAAGAAGATTGTAGAAGGAAAGAACTTGATTTGATTAAAATACGAAGTTGGGATCTAACAAATTGTTTAGAACCCTAAAGAGGCTGTTTTTGGTGTTCTTGAAAGGGGAAATTACAAGTGCCTAAAATAATAAGACTTTAATCTATTTATACTTGGAGACTCCAAAACCCTTGGTCAACTCATTTAGCTTGACTTCTTCCTTCCCCAAATGGTCTTGGCTCCAAACTTTGCGTTTTGGTCTTCATTTGGTACAGCTGGATAGTGGTCAAAGCTCAGTCAACGCGGGTCAACTCGTCCTCTTGGTCAACACTCAGCTGAAAGGCGAGAAACAGGTTTCTGAACCTGTTTGACATCCTGGTTGCGAACTCCTGAGTATTTTTTAATCTCCAACCTCCCATACTAGCTCCAAACTCCTCAAAAGCACCTAAATACAACTCCAAATGCAGAATGTATGCAATGTATGCTCTAAATGGTATGAATGTATACAATGGAAGGTAATTGACCTAAAATGAGTGAAATGAATGTCAAGAACATGCAAATATGTATGAAATTATATGTCTAAATGATGTAAAATATGAGTACATCAACACCCCCAAACTTATCACTTGCTTGCCCTCAAGCAAGAAGAACAAATCTGAGAGTATTGGATTAGGAGAAAGACTCAGATCCCAAGGTGCAATGAGAAGAAATGAGGTCAATGTCCTAGTTGAGAATTATAAGATGCAAAGTGAGTTTGCTTTACTTCAAAAACTTTAGCCACACTCATCAAGCAGCAAAATGACACTAGACCCAATCTACACATGCATTCATATCACTCTCACCTTTTGACATTCAATTAATACAAACCATGAATCAAAACTCATGCACTTCAAGATTTGCTCATTTGGTTAAGGGTTTAGGCTTTTTAGGAGATATGAAAGGTTTTTCCAAAGTGGTTTACTCATTTTTAAAACAGGGATCTCTCAAAGATGGATTGAGCTTGGGCAAAATGCTAAGAGTCAAGTCCAAGGATGATACAAAGCTGAACTTCCATCTACCCAAAACAGAGCTGAGAACCCAAAGATACCCACTGAAATCCTAGCTACCCTTTTCAAGAGAAAATGAAACTCAAATGAACCCAAATGACACTCTCTCTTTTCTTTCTTTTCTGGACCTTGAGAGGGTTATAAACTAGGACTTAAGGGAGGATAAACTTTCTTTTCAAAACAGAGGATTAGACTTTTTTGAACTTTTGTGGCTTAAGGCTTTTTTTTCTAGGCTTTGATTTTCTCTTTTTTTTTTTCTTGCCTAACTTTGACAACTTCACACACCACCACTCTTTCTTTTCTTTTCCTTTTCTCCCATCCTTTCTCTTTTTTACTTTCTGCCACTCTCAAGGTCTCTTTTAAACTCACTCTCTTCCTCACAAACTCCCAACCACCCAATTCCTAAGCCTAGTCTAGCTCAAAAACGTGAGCTAGTTCTACATGGAAGCTCAAACTTTGTCGGTCAAGACTCAACACTTTTTGCTTAGCTCAATCTGGAAAAGGCCTCACATCTCTCAGTAAAAGCTTTGGCTTGAAAGAAAGGTTTGGTACAGGGAGGGTTATCAAACAAACTTGGACACACAAAGAAGGATGAAAATTGGATAAAGAGTGTCCAAGGGAAACAAAATCCATGAGCAGAAACTTTTAATGCATGAGAATGATATTTAAGTGATCAAATTAGGTTCCAATAGATAAGGTGAGAGTTCAATTCAAAGCAATGATTCAACCAAGTCATGATGTCAAAATGTGCATTCCAAATGTGGTTCTATCTTAACTTCAAACTCACTCAATATGCACCAAATAATTAACAACTAGGCCATTGAAAACTTTTTCGAAAAATCACACCTTTTAATGGAAATGATCAATATTTTTTTTCTTATGCAAGTGCAAGTAACTACATGAGATGCATCTAGACTCAATCCTAATGTGCAAATGCAAATGATGCTTTTCTTTTTGTGTTATGCAATGTTTTGAAAATTTTCATTTTTTTGGTTTTCTCTATGACATAGATGCAATGCACATGATGCATGAGACTCAAGGATGAAAATCGAAAATAAGAAAACAGAACACAAGGTCAAATGCTATGGACCTCTCCCCCAAACTTAAACTGCACAGTCCCTTGTGCAAATAAAAGCTTGAAGAAGAGACCCATCAAACAAAATGCAAAAACAGAGAAGACTAAAAATGCATAGTATTTACAATGTGTTGGAGTTGTACCTCTCAGGTACTCATGGAGGAGGAGGATGATTGATTTTCAAGGCTGTAAGATGCGTTGCTGTACTCCAGAGCTGGTGACCTCAAAGATTTAACATGGCTCAGACGGGAATCGGGTTGTTCTGAGGAGCAAACCTGTTTGAAATCCTGATTGCGACCATTCTGTCAAGTTTTTGCAATCTGATTTTTAGACAATCAACTCAGGTCTCTCAAGAACATCCCAATTCCTCATCCAAACAAGCTGCACCAAACCTACAACACAAAAGCACCAAAGGCAAACACAAAAAAAAAAAAATTGAAAAGCTTAAGTATATACAAAAGGATAAGCATGGGACTTCCTCCCAAGTGAGCTTGTTTTAGGTCCCAAGCTTGACCTTCTTTAACTCTTGCTAGTGAATGGTGAAGGGCTGCACGCCTTTGACAGTGGTATCCATGGCATGAGCAAGAGAACCGTGGGGTTTGACTGGATCACCTGGGGATGGATCAAGAGAGTGAGGATGTGGTTTCTCCATCTTTTTCTTTCTCTTAAGAGTGGCCTCTCTGCCTCTACACACCTCCTCCTTCTGAGCACGTCCCATGTGCTCACTAAACATATCAATGAGACACTCTCCATCCATAATATCTTCTCCACACTCATCAAGCACATGCACAACTTTGTCACACTCAACCTTGTCCTTCTTGAAGCTGGAATTGGCAATGGTTATGGTTCCACAATAACTTGTTGAAGAAACCTTCATTGGGTATGCAACCTTGCTGTTGATATTGTGGAGAGTGACCAGCTTCTTGTGAAAGTCAATTGAGGCTCCAACAGTTGTAAGGAATGGTGTTCCAAGGATCAATGGTACCTTCCTTATCTCCATACATACCCAAAACAGTCAGATCAGTTGGAACCTTGCAGTCTCCTATCTTTAAAGGGTAATCCTTGATTAGACCAAGTGGAGACTTAGAAGAGGCATCTCCAAACATGATAGAAGATGTAGGAGGCGTCATGCTCTTTATACCCAGTTGCTTAACCATGGCAAGTGATATCAGATTCACACTTGCTCCAGAATCCACAAGAGCATCATCAAGCTTCAAATCTCCAAGGGTGCAAGGCAATGTGAACTTCCCTTGTTTCTCAAGCTTGGGAATGGAGGTTGGCGTGATATGGGCAGGATCTGGGGGTGTAGAGAGCTCAAGAAGCGCTGCCACTCTCTCTTTGTTCACAAGAACATCTCTAATCAGCTCTATTTGGAGGTGAGCTTCTTGCATATTGCCTATGTTGGGTAGATGAACACCAATATTGCTCATATCATTCCTGAATGTGGAGACTACCTTCTTTTGAGCTTTAGTGAGAACTCTCTCAGGAAATGGAAGCTCTGGTTTGTAAAGAGGAGGCTCAACCTTGATGGTTTCTTCTCTTGCAACAATCTTTGAGGCTTCCTCCTTGGCATTTCGTTTTTCAGCTTGAGAAGTCTCTCATTCACTGAAATCTCAACACTTGTACCATGAAGGAGCCTGTAAAGTTCTTCTATAGCTCTCTCATTCTCTTCAGTCTCAGCCACACCATCTTTAGTAGAGAAAACTGCATGACAATACTCCTTTGTACTTGATGATGAAGAACCACCAACTTTAGCTTCCAAGGTAAGCACTTTGGTAGTTAGAGACTCAAACTTGTTGTTTAGATCATTGTATGAGCAATCAACCTTATTGTGAATCTCAACCATCCTCTTGTTCAACTCTAAGGCACTATTAGCTTGTCCTTGGATTATCTGTTGCAATATGGTCTTCATCTCTGCCTCTTGACCAGAATTGTGGCTTCCTTGAGCTTGAGTAGACCCAAGATCTTGTGGAGAAAAACCGTGCTTGTAATAGACCCATTGGTTTCCATCTTGGCTGTCCACATAGTTGAGCTTTTTCTCTTGAATCTCCTCACCATTAATGAAGTGCACTTGCTTTTTCTGACCTGACAGTAGCTTGTCAAGCTTATCATTGAGAGTCTTGAGTTCCTTCTTGTGATTCTCTTCTTGAGCAAGACTGCCTCTCTCAGCTCTGTCACAATCTTCACCATAGCTTCCATCACTAGTGGCAACGTTCTCAACTAAAATCAATCCAGCATCAACATCTTTACCCATGAAGTAACCATTGCTTGCTGAATCAAGATGCATTCTGTATTTGGGTAATGTTCCTCTGTACAAGGTACTCAGTAGATTCTCTTTAGAGAAACCATGGTGAGGACACTGCATCTGGTAGCCCTTGAAGCGCTCATATGCCTCACAGAAAGTTTCTCCATGCATTTGCGTGAAACCGGAGATATCATTGCGCAGTTGTGCTGTTCTTGAGGTTGGAAAGAACTTAGCCAAGAAAGATTGCTTGCACTGTGCCCAAGTGGTGACTGATCCAGCAGGCAGAGATGCTTCCCAAGTGAGAGCTTTATCCTCTAGAGAGAAAGGGAAAAGCCTTAACTTGAAACCATCTTCAGAAACTCCATTGAGTTGCTGCAAAGAACAAATTCTGTCAAACTTGTCAAGATGCTTCAATGGATCCTCATCCTTCATGCCATGAAACACTGAACTCTCCACCAATGAGATCAAGCTGGTCTTGATTTCAAAGTTAAAGGGGACTGGTGGTGGGGTGATTCCGTGGCGGTTGACATGAGAAGTCGGAGTGTCAGCAGCTCCGATTTGTCGTGGAGGGTGTGGAGGATGAACTGGATATCCTCCATGCTGCTGGTCAGCTCCCAATGGAAACTCTGGGACCCCTGGTGGGTCTGCCATGCTCACAAGCTATGGTACATTGTTCTCTAGCTGCTGTTCAGCTCTCAGTTGCTTCTCAGCTCTATCTCTGCCTTGCTTTGACTGTTTCTCTTGTTCAGCTCTTTGAAAATCACTTGTCCAGAACAGAATGTCTTGACCACGTGATCTTGTGTTCATAAACCTGCAAAACCACAAAGAAACTTCAAGAACGGATGAGCAGCAAGCGAAATATGAAATAAAAACTTGATCTTGAAAAATTTCTAAATCGAAAATGTCCAATCAAATCTCTCCAAATGGCAACGGCGCCAGTTTGAAAACAAGATTTTTAGGTGTTTCAAACCCTTAATCCCTGCTCATATCATTGCAGCATAGTTTAAGGTTATCAATCCACTTTGAAGAGTGATTGGGACAAGAAAGAAAGCAAGAAACTTTTCAAGTCAAGAGCAAAAAGATTTGGTTTTGTGAAATTCGAAATGAACAGTAAAAATGGAGAAATAAAGGCAATAAACAGAGTTTGAAGCAATTTAAAATCAAGAACTAAGCTAGAAACCAAATTGAATCAAGCAAGTAGATGAATTCAAAGGAAGAAAGAGGTCTTAGGATGGGTAATTGATTAGAGAATCTTAGAGGTTGATAATGATGTTTAGACAAACAATCCTAGGAAGAGAATTCATGAAGCAAGAACCCAATCCAAGAGCTAACTTTCATTAGTGGAAAGGATCCAAGCCAGCAATAAGCAACAATTCTCCTAAACCAATAAGCTCTCTAAACAGTCACTATCATGAGCTAGAGAAGCAAATCTCCTTGTTGGTTGGTCCAACATTTCTCCAAACACTTTTGATGTGGAAAATGTTTAAAACCTAGATCTAAATTATCATTAGAGACCTAGCATTAAGAAAACCCAACAAGGAAGGATTGTAAAACGAAATTTAACCTCTAAACATCAAAATCAAACTCTAAAATCCCTAATCTATCCCATCCTCTAAGACCAAAGGGGTTTACTCACTAATCATGCTTAGAACACCAAATCCCATGGGGAAAGGGTCCTAATCATGATTAGAGAGATAAGATAAGAAGATTGTAGAAGGAAAGAACTTGATTTGATTAAAATAGAAGTTGGGATCTAACAAATTGTTTAGAACCCTAAAGAGGCTGTTTTTGGTGTTCTTGAAAGGGGAAATTACAAAGTGCCTAAAATAATAAGACTTTAAAGTATTTATACTTGGAGACTCCAAAACCCTTGGTCAACTCATTTAGCTTGACTTCTTCCTTCCCCAAATGGTCTTGGCTCCAAACTTTGCGTTTTGGTCTTCATTTGGTACAGCTGGATAGTGGTCAAAGCTCAGTCAACGCGGGTCAACTCGTCCTCTTGGTCAACACTCAGCTGAAAGGCGAGAAACAGGTTTCTGAACCTGTTTGACATCCTGGTTGCGAACTCCTGAGTATTATTTTAATCTCCAACCTCCCATACTAGCTCCAAACTCCTCAAAAGCACCTAAATGCAACTCCAAATGCAGAATGTATGCAATGTATGCTCTAAATGGTATGAATGTATACAATGGAAGGTAATTGACCTAAAATGAGTGAAATGAATGTCAAGAACATGCAAATATGTATGAAATTATATGTCTAAATGATGTAAAATATGAGTACATCAACACCCCCAAACTTATCACTTGCTTGCCCTCAAGCAAGAAGAACAAATCTGAGAGTATTGGATTAGGAGAAAGACTCAGATCCCAAGGTGCAATGAGAAGAAATGAGGTCAATGTCCTAGTTGAGAATTATAAGATGCAAAGTGAGTTTGCTTTACTTCAAAAACTTTAGCCACACTCATCATAGCAGCAAAATGACACTAGACCCAATCTACACATGCATTCATATCACTCTCACCTTTTGACATTCAATTAATACAAACCATGAATCAAAACTCATGCACTTCAAGATTTGCTCATTTGGTTAAGGGTTTAGGCTTTTTAGGAGATATGAAAGGTTTTTCCAAAGTGGTTTACTCATTTTTAAAACAGGGATCTCTCAAAGATGGATTAAGCTTGGGCAAAATGCTAAGAGTCAAGTCCAAGGATGATACAAAGCTGAACTTCCATCTACCCAAAACAGAGCTGAGAACCCAAAGATACCCACTGAAATCCTAGCTACCCTTTTCAAGAGAAAATGAAACTCAAATGAACCCAAATGACACTCTCTCTTTTCTTTCTTTTCTGGACCTTGAGAGGGTTATAAACCAGGACTTAAGGGAAGATAAACTTTCTTTTCAAAACAGAGGATTAGACTTTTTCTGAACTTTTGTGGCTTAAGGCTTTTATTTTCTAGGCTTTGATTTTCTCTTTTTTTTTTTCTTGCCTAACTTTGACAACTTCACACAACCACTCTTTCTTTTCTTTTCCTTTTCTCCCATCCTCTCTCTTTTTTACTTTCTGCCACTCTCAAGGTCTCTTTTAAACTCACTCTCTTCCTCACAAACTCCCAATTCCTAAGCCTAGTCTAGCTCAAAAATCGTGAGCTAGTTCTACATGGAAGCTCAAACTTTGTCGGTCAAGACTCAACACTTTTTGCTTAGCTCAATCTATAAAAGGCCTCATATCTCTCAATAAAAACTTGGGCTTGAAAGAAAGGTTTGGTACAGGGAGGGTTATCAAACAAACTTGGACACATAAAAGAGGGATGAAAAATGGATAAAGAGTGTCCAAGGGAAACAAAATCCATGAGCAGAAACTTTTAATGCATGAGAATGATATTTAAGTGATCAAATTAGGTTCCAATAGATAAGGTGAGAGTTCAATTCAAAGCAATGATTCAACCAAGTCATGATGTCAAAATGTGCATTCCAAATCTGGTTCTATCTTAACTTCAAACTCACTCAATATGCACCAAATAATTAACAACTAGGCCATTGAAAACTTTTTGAAAAATCACACCTTTTAATGGAAATGATCAATATTTTTTTTCTTATGCAAGTGCAAGTAACTACATGAGATGCATCTAGACTCAATCCTAATGTGCAAATGCAAATGATGCTTTTCTTTTTGTGTTATGCAATGTTTTGAAAATTTTCATTTTTTTGGTTTTCTCTATGACATAGATGCAATGCACATGATGCATGAGACTCAAGGATGAAAATCGAAAATAAGAAAACAGAACACAAGGTCAAATGCTATGGACCTCTCCCCCAAACTTAAACTGCACAGTCCCTTGTGCAAATAAAAGCTTGAAGAAGAGACCCATCAAACAAAATGCAAAAACAGAAAAGACTAAAAATGCATAGTATTTACAATGTGTTGGAGTTGTACCTCTCAGGTACTCATGGAGGAGGAGGATGATTGATTTTCAAGGCTGTAAGATGCGTTGCTGTACTCTAGAGCTGGTGACCTCAAAGATTTAACATGGCTCAGACGGGAATCGGGTTGTTCTGAGGAGCAAACCTGTTTGAAATCTTGATTGCGACCATTCTGTCAAGTTTTTGCAATCTGATTTTTAGACAATCAACTCAGCTCTCTCAAGAACATCCCAATTCCTCATCCAAACAAGCTGCACCAAACCTACAACACAAAAGCACCAAAGGCAAACACAAAAAAAAAAAAAATTGAAAAGCTTAAGTATATACAAAAGGATAAGCATGGGACTTCCTCCCAAGTGAGCTTGTTTTAGGTCCCAAGCTTGACCTTCTTTAACTCTTGCTAGTGAATGGTGAAGGGCTGCACGCCTTTGACAGTGGTATCCATGGCATGAGCAAGAGAACCGTGGGGTTTGACTGGATCACCTGGGGATGGATCAAGAGAGTGAGGATGTGGTTTCTCCATCTTTTTCTTTCTCTTAAGAGTGGCCTCTCTGCCTCTACACACCTCCTCCTTCTGAGCACGTCCCATGTGCTCACTAAACATATCAATGAGACACTCTCCATCCATAATATCTTCTCCACACTCATCAAGCACATGCACAACTTTGTCACACTCAACCTTGTCCTTCTTGAAGCTGGAATTGGCAATGGTTATGGTTCCACAATAACTTGTTGAAGAAACCTTCATTGGGTATGCAACCTTGCTGTTGATATTGTGGAGAGTGACCAGCTTCTTGTGAAAGTCAATTGAGGCTCCAACAGTTGTAAGGAATGGTGTTCCAAGGATCAATGGTACTTCCTTATCGCCATATATACCCAAAACAGTCAGATCAGTTGGAACCTTGCAGTCTCCTATCTTTAAAGGGTAATCCTTGATTAGACCAAGTGAAGACTTAGAAGAGGCATCTCCAAACATGATAGAAGATATAGGAGGCGTCATGCTCTTTATACCCAGTTGCTTAACCATGGCAAGTGATATCAGATTCACACTTGCTCCAGAATCCACAAGAGCATCATCAAGCTTCAAATTTCCAAGGGTGCAAGGCAATGTGAACTTCCCTTGTTTCTCAAGCTTGGGAATAGAGTTTGGCGTGATATGGGCAGGATCTGGTGGTGTAGAGAGCTCAAGAAGCGCTGCCACTCTCTC